TCAAAGTATCCTGGACATTGGAACGGGACTCGATGACGTAGTATCCTTGAAATAGTGGCTCTGGAGCATCCTTCCTCGACATTGAGAAACACCCTGACTGCTCAGGCACCCATACTTGGAGCTGAGCAGTCAACCAAAATCAGGTGTCAGCAATCTCTCCTGATTGGGGGAGTGGCTAACCAGGGACTTGAGTGGAAGGCCTAGGGGCCGTCACACTGGTAAAGTAAGTACGGAAGAGGATCAGGGCCACATGTGAATGTTTTATATTTATAATATTATATTGTTTTTTCTTCTATGAAAAATGTCACGTTTTTTGGGGGGGGAAAATATGTTTTTGTTTTGTTCTGAAATGTGTTTTATTTTTTTTAATTTTGATTCAGATTTATTTTTTGTGCAAAACAAATTCTGAGATTTTCAGGATTATTTTCTCTCACAATTCCGTAAAGAATCTTAATTTCTTTCTGAATATTTTTTATTTTTCCAGAATATTTTGGAAATGTATTTCCTTTTTTTTTCCGAATTCTGAGATTTAAAAAAAAAAAAAAAAATCTGAATTCTGACTCTTTTTCTCAAAACTCACATGAAAAAAACTTTTTCTCAATTTAGTTTTTACATCTGGCCCTGGTCCTCTTCCGTAAGTATCTAACAGCTACGTTTCCCACAGATCTTATTTCGAGCTATTTTCTAAAATCCTATGGAGAAATCTCATTGCTTTTTTGTGGAGGGAACCCATGTGCAGCTTACTTCCTGGTTTTAGGACGCGTCACTCTCGTCTGCTCTTCACACACCATACTTTTTGCTGCACACGTACTTACAGCCAATCAGCTCTGAATGATGTGAGATGACGTATGGTGGGGATGGCAGCACTATGCCCCTATGGTCATTATTTTTTTGCCACACACATTAAATAGGACAAGACTCTGAGCATGCGCAGTGTAGTTTTTACAGTCACCGTTCACTTAGACAGTGAGAGGGAGGGGCAGGATCGGGTTTTGTCCCACATGGCTCTAAACAGCTCAATAGGCACACACTGTAGACACTAATTAGAAGAACAGACAAAAAAAGCAATGTACAGACGAATAAGATGATTAAATATGATCTTAAAATATATATATTTTTTTGCATTTTTTGGTAATCATTATTTTTAATACTTTCTGCTGACACTATGTGGGGCTGACCAGTCACTACTGCATGTTTGACATAATTCAGTTCAGACGCTGGCCTACGTATCTGTCCTCCTCTCTTCTCAAAAATCTTCAGAAGTTTGTCAGATAGCACATCCAGCTGAGAGAGACATCTTGATTGGAGGGGCAGGGTTGTTATACGTTTAAACTCCGCATTTATCAAAGAAAACAAAATATCACAGTCATAAAAATCATCAAACCATTTCATTTTCTAATGATGTTATGATTGTAGTTGTGTGCTAAATGTATTTACAAAATCACATACCAGGCATATCTTGCCTCAAAACGCTGCAGAGAAACTAGTCCATGCATTTGTTACTTCAAGGCTAGCTTATTGTAACTCTTTATTATCAGGGTATACCAAGAAGTCAGTTAAGTTGCTTCAGCTGATTGAAAATGTATTGACCAGAGCACAGAAAAGGGACCACATTACTCCTGTTTTGGCTCCCTGTAGAACAGTGATTCTCAAACTTTTTTCAATCATGTACCCCCTTTGAAAAAAAAATTCAGCCAAGTACCCCCTGATCAGCGCAAAAACAATTTGTTAAGGAGAAAATGCCTACAAAGAGGTACAGTACAGCGCTGCACCATCAGTGTCTGATTTATTAAAACAACAACCTTGTAACTGAGAAACACTTAAATGTTACATTCCAAATGTTTACAATCCATCACTAAATTCATGGCAAACCCATTTTAACATCATGCAATAACACTAAGACGACATTAGTTGCATTGAACTGATCTTTTTAATAAGTTATACTTACAATGTAGTGAAACATGGGTTTGTGCTTCACTGAGGATCTTTGTTATTCTCAGTGACAGGAAGGCCACTGCAGTTATTACACTTTGCGTTTTGAAATATGTGTAACTCTGTTAATATAAAACCCACTCTGCTCAAACTTCGCTACTTTTCCTGATTTTTTTAATTGTTTTTTAATTAACATAAAATAAACGTCACGTACCCCTTGCAGTACTCCAACGTACCCCTAGGGGTCCGCGTACCCCCATTTGAGAACCACTGCTGTAGAACACAAGATAGAATTTAAAATTATTCTTCTCGCCTACAAAGCCCTTAATGGGCAGGCGCCATCTTTATCTTAAAGAGTTCATTATACCTACTGTCCCACCAGGGCATTGCGTTCCAAGAATGCAGGGTTTTTGGTTGTTCCTAGCAAAATCAAATGCAGTCGAATGCACAAGTCCTGCAATAAATCCTTCCTTCATGGAGGTGATCATACTTTTTGTTAAAACTCTGTGAGAGGTCTTTTTACAAAAGCTCTTTTTGGAGGATGGAATCTGTGGTGCTGTTGAATGGTGTTGTGATAGTGAGAATAACTTTTTATATCAAGTACGAACAACCAGGTTAGACTACATTACATTTCATTTACGTTTTTTTCCAAAGCGACTTAAAATAAGTATTACTGTAATGTAAGACTACATATAAGAAACACCCTTATAGCCATTTCAACAAACAAAACATTATCCCTTTTGTGAAGGAGGCTTTATCGCAGAATGTTTGGCTTTTGCCTCTCACTTTCTGAATAACTGTTGCCTAATAAATCAGAAAATGTGTATATCCCTGCAATGTTTGCAGTATGTAAATGTTATGAATAAATATTCAGAAATGTTCAGACTAATACCAGTTTTCAATTAGTTAAAGATCAAGTTTAAGTTAGTCAAATAAATCACACAAAACATTTGAATACTCACCATTTACTACAGAGCCTTTGGAACAATGTTCAAAGCAAGGCTGAGGTTAATCTTCTCCACACCAATTACCTATCAAAGAAAAACACATTTGAAATTATTTCATTATTCACACACAAATAAAACAAAAATGTTCTGCTCCTTAAAGGCGACATTTACCATAATGATGTACCTTTAGGTTGATATGAACCAACTTCGGCCGAGATGGACGCCTCCAGTGTAAAAAGCTACAGTATACTAATGCAATGAGTACAACTTTGTACGGAGCCATACACATCAGCGTTGCAAGCTCATTTCTATTGGTTTCAATGGAGACGTGCACTGGCTGCCAAGGGCTTTTTTTCTGGCCGCGGCCTTCAACTTTGGGGCCGCCGCAGCCTTACGGCCCGTTCACACAGCGGCGTGCGTTGACGCTTGCCGGCGGGCGTGTCTGACACTCGACCAACAACCAATCACATGAATCTCCCGACCCTGACACACAAGCAGCGGTTTGATTGGCTAGAGCTTGTACTGGCATATGATTCGATTGGCTGACGCTTCTGCCGAGGCTTCAAAAGTTGAACATTGCTCAACTTTTGCAGCGAGCCACGCCAGCAACGCTCCGCGTCGCTTCCCACGATGCAGTTCGGCTAAAAGTGACGTCACCCCATTCAAAGTGAATGGGCAGAAGCGTTGGAAGCTTCAACGCACGCCGCTGTGTGGACGGGCCGTTATTATACATCCATGGCCGCAGCGCGCACTGCTCGTCATGTGACGAGGAACAACCAATCACAACCAAGAAACATCTCAACTTCCGTAAACATAAGTGCAGCAAATATGGAAGATAAGTTCATTTCACAGCGGGTGGATCGTAACCCTTACTTTAAGATCTGTCCGGCATTTTTTTTAAATATACTTTATTAATCCCCGTGGGGAAATTGTTTCTCTGCATTTGACCCATCCTGTGTCTACCAATAGAAATACATTGCTTTTAAAATCGTTCTGTGATGCGACACGAAAAAAAGGGGAAAATCGTGTTGGTGAACACGAATCAATAGATTACATTTTGTGACTTTAACACGAAATGCCGGTGTTGTGTCACATTATGCCTCCCCGTCGTGAAATGCGCCCCTTGTCACGGGAACGCGCATTTCTAAATGACACGTTTACACCTCTAAATGACACGTTTACACCATAGGTTTACACCTTAAAACGATGTTTAAAACGAAAAGTAAACGTTCAGGGTTTTTATTAATAGTAATTTTCAGACTGTGAGTTGTTTAGTGGTAGCTCATAGTCTTGATTCTTCTGGTTTAACTTTTCGCTCCGTATTTGAGGTGTCGAAATTCATTCGTCACTTCCTTTTCAGTTTGTTTTTTAAATCTTTTTTTTTATCATTATTGTTACGTCCTGTCTGTATAAACGTGCTTTAAAATGTATTGTTTAATTTTACATAGTTGTCATCTAATAATGAAAATATATGTTTACAAATGTTACATAGTCTTTGTCAGCATATTATTATATACGCTATGCGTACAAAATAAAAGGGTGACATTCATGAATCTTGCTCCATTTATTGGTACCAGTCCTAGAACCATACCCTGAAAAAGGCTTGAGGGTGGAATTCAAACCCACCTCTTTTGGGGGGGGGGGGGGCATTTTATGACAGGCCTGGCCATCACAATATGCCCCCCCTTGCTATCTTTTTTATGAATGTGACACTTTTATTTTGTACGCATAGCGTGGTCATGCTAGTGGTCATTTAGAAATGCGCGTTCTCGTGACAAGGGGGGCATTTCATGACGGGGAGGCATAATGTGACACAACACCGGCCCGTGAGACTGGGTTGCTCATTGACATAACCAAGACAGAAAGCCACAGGAGGATTTTTTATTAAGACACTTCAGAATATTCTGGTGGTAAAGCAGCCCACTGTGAGAGCTTTGTTAAATTAACAGTTGCTATACATGTATTAGTGTCCATGCTGTTGTGCTATAGGTTTAATATGACAACACAATAATTAGTAGGCTAGCTTCTTAGCTTAGATACCATACATGTAATGTGTTTGTTTTTTAGCACTACAATGTATAAAGGTCAAAGATATAAAATAATGAAACCGAGGAAATTGAATAGTGTTTGCCATTCATTTATTTTCTCATAAACCAATAATAATTGAACACTGGTCATGTCCACACTGAAGTGCACAGCTGATGCATATGATCTTTATTCGGGGATGATGTTGGGGAGGCTGTGTATTACGTTGGTCCATAAATCCACGAAAGGCATTCTCATATTCTCTCCCACATAGCTTTCGTCCATCTTAGAGTTGAGCTCCACAAACTTCTGTCCAGTGCTGTTGAATGTTGGCCAGGTAGCAGGCACGCTCAGTTCTCCTTCGTTGGGGTCCCTGGATGGATGGATGGATATACAGCAATCAAATAAAGACAGTTATAGTTTTCTACTTCAAATAAAGTGCCCTACGTGTATTGGGGTGACAGATAGGGTCCAAAACTAGCAAGCCACATGAATGTCTGCGAGCAAATTAATTGTATATGCTACACAAATACGATCCGTTTAATTTTCAGAATATTGGGTTGCAGATTAAAATGTTCCAAAGGGGGTTCGTTTAGCGTGAACCACTTGAAAGAACTAAAGGATAAGTTAAAAAAAGAAAATAGAAAGAAAGTGAGGTCATGGAAAACTATTTCTGCTAAAACGTTAGCAATGACTGAGAGTCAGAGCTAAACATTTCAGATGTGTGTATCTCACACTGCACTGTGACTTTAATTAATGTTTTTGTTATTCATGTTTTATTTATCTTTGCTTTTAAATGAGTGTTTTTAAATGCCATTTTATAATATGTTTCTTAATGTCTTTCATTTTGGTAAAGCACTTTGAATTGCCTTGTGTTGAAAGTTGCTATATAAATAAATGTGCCTTGCCTTCAATATCTAATTCAGGTTTGTTTGATTTCTGTGATGCTCCTATGTCTTGTGTCGGAAGATTTTTACCCTGTTCTGGCGAAGTTTGTCCAGTAGGCGATCATGTAGCCAGAGAGGTCCCGGTGGCTGGCTAAATACATCAATGCTGTCGTAAAAGGCTTTCCGAACACGTAAGGCACATCGTCCGTATGGTCGGCTCCCATCCACTTAGGGAAAGGTCTGAAAATGCCTGCCATCTGGCTGGGCTCAGAGAAAAGGTAGGAGTAGGTACGGCCAGTTCTTTGGTGACACATGGGAAGAAAAGGGATATGACAATGAGTTCACAACGAAGAAGAATGAGTTTTCAAAACGTGTGCATCGAAAAATGGCATTACATGTGGTGAAGAGACAATCTGATTGTTTAAGGGACCTGTCAGGGTTGACTTGGGACTTAATCCCTGACTCAAGTGCAAACATTTGAGGCTTACTGTGTTTGAAAACAGGTAGCCAAAATGTGAGACTAAAGGAACTTTTTACCTTTTCAGAAAAGCAAACCTCATACAAGAAAATCCCCTACTTACTGCGATGACTTCCATGAAGTTATAGAATGGTTAAACCCTGGGTTTGTTCCTTAAAGGTCACCTATTATGCAAAATCCACTTGTTCATGTCTTTTATACATAAAGACCTTTATGATCCATTTATATAAAAACCTGTCTGAAAATGAGCTGATCAGATTTTGGCCACTTTATGATGTCATAACGATGTTTTGGCTTGTGTAACCCCCCCTCCCTTATCGCCTGAATCTCCTCCTAGAGCACCATTGTGTTCTTTTTAGGGATGGGTATCGTTTGAAATGTATCGATTCCGATTCCGGTTCTTATCGATTCCCCGTTTCAATTCCAAAATTGTAAAAGAAAGAGGTCAAACGTTTAGATAACAAAAATATCTTAATCTTTTTAAGCTTTAACTGACATTTTTACAAATAAAAAATATACATGCAATACAAATGTATTGCACAATAGCTGTGCTTTATTTGAACTGAGCTATGCCTGTGGCAAGCTATTAACAGGCATTACACTGTGCCTTGTCTTTTTCTTTTTTAGTGTAGTGGAGCCTCACTTCAGAGCGTTTACCGCGACCCATCTTTGGTGTTATGAAGTGAGCTCGTGAACTGTCTACGGGAGGGCGGGGGAGCCTCGCTGCGGGGAAACTGTGGACCTCTGTCGCCGCAACTTACATGATGTCGTTTAAAAAAATGAAGGGCGGTGCCGGCCGTCAGCAAACCGAGCCGGCCGTCAACGGCCCGCTGACGACCGGCCGTTCTGTGATTCTCCAGAACACACAGATGGCCAGATGACCCTTACACTGGCTGCATTCCACCGGGTCGCCGCGGCTCAGACGGACCCGGTGGAATACAGGGTCTACCACGTTTAGGAACCGTTAAGCAGAACCGAAATTGTGTATTTTGTATGGGTACCCGGTACCCGGCATTTTCTTATCGGTTCTCATCTGGAACCGAGTTTCGGTTCCCAACCCTAGTTCTTTGTAACCAAATGTCTCTCAGAGGGGCGTGGGGAGGGGCTCCTTATTTTCATCTAAAGTAACAGACAGAGAATCAGCACTTTGGAAACAGAGCTGAAACAGAGGGGATTATGGGATGCTGCAATGATCTGTTTGGTGTTTCAGCCAATCAGAGACAGGCTCTGGATATATCTGAGACCTGTGATATATTGATGAAAAACAGCATAATAGGGGACCTTTAAATTATAAAGCATGGTGTGGAACAAAAGGGCTTGTAGATAAACTGGAAGCATCTGTATAGCAAGATGTTATAATCACTTTGCGTTGTCAGCATGAAGCTTCAGTGCAGCCTGAGTAGAAGCCAGGAAGAGGAAGTCTGTTTCAATGTGAACGAGGGTTTTCTTGATGCTCTCTTGGCTGGGCGTTGGTTCCCAGGTTGAGTTATATAGTGAAAGTGCAGCGTGCCAAGCAGCGTCACCCTTATCCTTAGTGTACGCAGCCAGAAGCTTCTCCACATCCTCGCTGCAATAAAGAAAGGTTTGGAAATAAGTTATAATAAAACACAACTAACCAAAGTTGCTCTGGGTAGATCCATTGCAGAATTGGGTTATATTAAGGTACACAAATTCACCATCAACTAGTTGTCAATTATCATGCATATTAGCAGTAGCCTATATTGGCTCTTTATTAGTCATTATAAAACACTTATTAATGCCTTATTCTACATGACCTTATTCTACAAGTAATAGGCCATTAGTTGAGTTTTTCCTCAATAACCCTAATTAGTGCTTATTTATTGCAAGTAAGGAAATTGTTGATGGTTGACAGTCAGGTGATTATAACCTTCGTCCTTGACATGTTTTGGGATGTGTCTGAACCTCTCTTTAGTGGTTCATTAATAAAACAGACATTTCAACGTGTGCCTACTATGTTCATGTACTGTTGAGGTTAATTTCAGTAGTTGTGTGCTATAATGTATTTACAAAGTGTGAAGAGGAGGCAACTTCAGAATAGGGAACCTGTTCAGGTCAATTAGAGTAAAACTACTAGCTTATTGGTTTTGAACAAGTAGGGACGAGAACCGGTGCTACATCTGGCAAGAAACAGCGTCTCAAGGCTTCTTAACATTTAACAACCTATTAATGATGCATACCCACTTAACGGGAAGAAACTCAGCTAGCAGACGATATTAACAATTTTTACCTACACCGAACAGAAGTCCAACAGCAAGTCTAAATCAACACTTAGCTAAATGAGCTAACGGGGCTAACGGCTACTTTAGCACATAACTGGCCAAAGCTATCTTTTCTACGTCATGTTATCTGCACAAACGACATATCACATGAAAGCTGAGGTTCCACAGATTCCATTGGTATAAGTCCCATCACTGTACGACAACACTCACTGAACTAGCAGCCAGGAAAGAGCAAGAAAACAACTTCACTTTACGTAGCCATGATAATTATGTCTTACCTTTGCTGTTTTGTGATCAAAAGTTGTGTTCAAGGGCATAACAACGCTGCTGAAGGTCAATCCAATGTCTCAGTGTAACTTTGAAATTATTACTGATAATCCATCATTACAATTATAAATAATAAATGGGTTATAATGGTTAGCTGACCGGAGCTTTCGGTATAGGAGGTGCGCATGCAGCGTCTGTGGTGGTTGCATTCTCCAGCCACCTAGCTTGTGTGTGTGTTTTCCCTTTCCCTGTCTGTGTGGGCGTGGTGCCTGTGACTCCTGGCTCCCGGCTCAAATCTCCACCAGCTGCAAACAGTTGAGCACTCTCCTCTGCGACACACCTGATTCCCATCAGCCATTACGGATGGTATATCAGCGGAGGCTCCACAACCTGTCAGCGCCAGATCGTTGTTAAACCCCAGTGGTAAAACTCTTAGCCTTCTCAGCCTTCTTAAAGTATAGTGACTATTTTCGCTACACCTGAATATATTCTTACCTGTTCTTCTTGTGCTCCAGGATTACGCTTCAGTGGATACTCTCCAGCCGGATTATCTCCTCCAAATAAAACCTTTGTAACACACTGCCATGTCCTGCGTTTGGGTTCTCTCAGATAACCATAACAGCGTCTCGTTTTAACTGGTCATGGTTACATGGATTTATGAACTGGCCATAATAACCGCCTCCCTTCCAGAGACACACTGTCAAACACACTCATACCTGCTTGGTATCGCATTGAAAAAGTTACATTAAATACAAATACATTACAATAAAATAATTGTTGTTTTATCTTCACATCTTGTAATCGTGTCTATAATTTTGAGCACCAAATTATTGAAAAGTATCGATAAGAGTATCGAAAAATACCGGTATTGATAAGCAGTATCGGTATCAGTAGCGATAAAATCCTAACGATACTCATCCCTGTAGAGCGGCGAAGTCCCGCCCTTCTACTTCCGCCCCATGGGACCTTATTTTGGAAAAATTATGTATTGAAGTCAATGGCGATAGAAAACTTATCTTTCGATCCCGTTTGCGCAGCTTACTTCCTGGTTTTAGACGCGTCTCTCGTCTCCTCTTCACACACCACACTTTTCGCGGCACACGTACTTACAGCCAATCAGCTCTGAATTATGTGAGATGACGTGTCGTGGGGAAGGCAGCTCAGTGCCCCTATAGAGTGGCGAAGTCACGCCCATCTACTTCCGGTCCATGGGACCTTATTTCGGAAAAATAATGTATTGAAGTCAATGGAGAGAGAAAACGTATCTTTCGATCCCGTTTGAATTGTGCCATGAATTACACATATGATGTTTGTCGATCTTAAAAAATAATTTCCATGTAAAAAAAGTCACAGTTTGTCGTAAAACTGTTGAAATATAAGACTATGAAAAATACGCAACTAGAAAGACTACAAATCCCAGAGTCGCGTAAGTGATGTCATTATCGTTACACATTACACTCGTGTTACTCACCGAAACCTTGTAAAGCCGGTCCCGCATGCTGGCTCTCACGGAACCGACTAACTCCCCTCGTGTGTATGTACAGCTCTCAACATTCTGAAAGAAAGAAGTGAAATGTGCCAACGTGACGGCCATCTTGGTGTTGGTGACGTGTGCGAGACCAGAGATGTAGTTCATTGAGCGTTTCACACAAAAAATGTGTTACTTCACAGTTTTACGACACATTTGAATTGTTTTGACTGCCAAAATTATCTTTAAAATTGACAATCATCATATGTGTGATTCGTGGCACAATTCAAACGGGATCGAAAGATAATCTCTCTCGCTATTGACTTCAATACATACTTTTTCCGAAATAAGGTCCCATGGAGGAAGGGGAGGGACTTCGCCTCTCTATAAACAAGACTTCACTTTAAAATAGGGAACATATTCTTAGATATAAATACTTAATTTTGAGTTATTTAGACACACTTAACACTTATAGTTTCATGTCTTGTTATATAAGAATAGATCATATTTGTTAAGTGTTATTATGGGAGAATTACTATTCTTGTGGTACTACTACTGCATATTAAGACCAAAACTCATGTACAACAACTTCATTACTTGCAATAAATAAGCTCTAATTAGAGGGTTATTGAGGAAAAACTCTCAACTAATGGTGTATTACTTGTAGAATATGGTCATGTAGAATAAGGCATTAATAAGTGTTTTATAAGTAAGGGATAATGTGCAGCGAGGCGGTCATTATGAGTAAAAGAACACCCGACAGGCTGATCAGGAGCCCGACGCGAAGCACTTGATTGCCCTAATGCCAAAGTAACTGGCAACTGAATATGTTTAGCCATTTGATGTCTGGACCGTTGGGTACAAAGGACCGCAGCTCTGTGTTGAGGTTTCATCTCCGCTGTTTTCTTGTCCCTTTTGTCTTTTTCTTTTCTTCACTGGGGACTCATCAGCCACAAACCATTCATCCAAATGACTGTGCTCTCCAAATATATAAAAATTAATATTAAAATCCTCCATGTTGCTCTCAGGCGGGAGACAACAAAAAAAAACAAAAAAAAAAAACTGTATACAGTTAAATCGACCGGACTTCTTTCTGCAGATGTGAGCGTCTTTAACAACGGTCAATAAATCCTTGACAGCGGTCTGTACTACTGGATTAACAACGTGTCACGTGTTCTGAATTGACCAATCAGAATCGAGTATTCAACTAAGCCATTTAATAATGACTAATAAAGAGCCAATATACTGCTAATATGCATGTTAATGTGAACAAACGGCATCAACTCACACAGGGACGGGCAACAGGTCGATGTTGACTCTTGGAACATCGATACTCGTGAAGGCGTGTCCGTCCATGTTGTTGACTCCAGCGATGAAATCAATGTCCGCCGCATTGTGGAACAACTTGGACGGATGATCCGGCAGGAAGTCACCATCGATGACAGGAGATAATTCCAGGTGGTAGACAATGGGTTCTGACAGGCAGATATAACCAGATGCTTATTATGTACAGTAGGCCTACTAACTCGATGTTTTACTTTCACAGTCATCTGTATATTTTTCTTACTCTCTAATGTTAGTTTATTTCTATTTCTATTTGAGAATTGTTTGAAATGTTGCTTGTATGATAATCTCCAAAAAGAGAATGCAAATTCATGTGTGTTTTGTCGGGGCTGTAAAACACGTTCAACAGATTAACATCTTAATCTCATTTCTAAGTTTGACCCAAAGTCAGGAATCATGAGAGAGTATGAATATTAGCCGTATGGGAATTGAGATAGATAACAAATAATAAATCAATGATTCACTGGGATGCCATTAAAACAATGCAGAAGGAGGGGGTGCAACACAGTGACTTTTCTCTCTACATTGCCCCGATAGAAAGCATCAGAATCTATAAACTGAAAATGCTAATTGTATGTGGAGTCCTTACCACCGGCGCAGCTGGACAGATTGAAAGATCCCGCCAGAGTTAGGACTACAGGATCTATCTCCTTCAAACAGGAAGCCATGCGCTCATCAGTGGAGCAATTGACCGCCAGAGCAACCTGGGGAGGAGTTAGAAATCATGTTTAGAATGGAAACAGACAACTTTAAAAACCCCCTAGTCTTTCCAAATGGTATATTTTGTTGGGGCCGCTGTGACAACACTTGCCCAGTTTGAGGAAAGCTAGCTATTGATTCAACTCTTCGGTCTGTTTCAACTGTGCGAGTACTCGATGATTACTCGACTAACATTTCTGACATGTTAGTGACACATCAGACTGATTTGGAGCAGTTCATTGCGTTTTTTTAATCCTTGCTGAACTCTGGACACTGCACAGAGGAAAAGGCCCAACAAGCAGAAATGATGACTCTCAAATGAGTCGGGAAACATCAGAAACAAGCCTGAATCTAAATGTGCATGTCCGGCTTTATTTATTTATTGATTGATTGATTGATAGATAGATAGATAGATAGATAGATAGATAGATAGATAGATAGATAGATAGATAGATAGATAGATAGATAGATAGATAGATAGATAGATAGATAGATAGATAGATAGATAGATAGATGCGCAGTGGCATGTGGCGCAGTGGATTGAGCCTTGGTATTGGGATCAGAGGGTCACAGGTTCAAACCCCGCTGCAGTCAGCATGTCGTTGTGTCCCTGAGACACTTCACCCCAAAGTGCTCCTGTGGGGATTGTCCACAGTATTGAGTATGTAAGTCGCTTTGGATAAAAGCGTCTAACATGTAACATCTAATGTAATATAAATCCACTTTCTGTTTTAATGTTTCCAGAGCCCTGAAGTGATAAACATCTTTATTTTCTAAATATATTCCCATCTTGAATTATTCTTAAAGTTCAACGATATTGAAGTGACTGTTATTTTGTATATATTGATCGTTGTGCTTTTATTTAGGTCTTAATGTGTGAACATGTCTTTGGATTGTGTATGTACATATTTGCATACATATTTTTATATATATTTGTTTTTGTATTTGGGATTGTGGGAAACCGTATTTCGATCTCTCTGTCTGTACACACAAACTGAAAGATTGACAATAAAGTTGACTTTGACTTTTGATACAAGGAAATAAAACATGTGAGTAAAGTGTGATGTACCTCCACAGCGTACAGGCGGGGGTTCTTGTTGATGGTCCATGGGCTGAGGGCCACACCGCTCTGGGCGATGGCTCTCTTGAAAAGCCCTTTGTTGTGAGGACTCAGAATCTGAAGTGAAAGTTAGAATTCATTTCATCTCAAATAATATATCTACAGAGATGGCAAAAGTACACACATCCTCTACTCAAGTAGAAGTACAGATACTCGTGTTTAAAAATACTCTGGTGAAAGTAGAAGTACTGACTAAACTTCTTCACTCAAGTAAAAGTAAAGAACTTTGAAGTGTACTTCAGTAAAAAGTACCCATAACTAGCAGCTGTTTTAAAGAGTACCTGACCTCCCTTTATATTAATAGAACTATAATGTCATTGTTAGCTAATGAATGTTTCCATGCTGAACAACGGCAACATGACAACGTTTCCATTGGTCCCTCTTCTTTAGAGAAGACCAGGAAATGATGGATACACGGATCGTGTTCAAATCAATAGGCACGCAATGACTCTAAAGAATAATGATCACGCATCAAACACACATTCAGACTAAAGGAACCAGCTGTTTGGAAAATTAGAGAAGTAGGAAGTACAGGTATTTGTGTTCAACATGTAAGAAGTAGAAAGTACAGGTATTTGAGTTCAACATGTAAGAAGTAGAAAGTACAGGTATTTGTGTTCAACATGTAAGAAGTAGAAAGTACAGGTATTTGTGTTCAACATGAGAGAAGTAGAAAGTACAGGTATTTGTGTTCAACATGTAAGAAGTAGAAAGTACAGGTATTTGAGTTCAACATGTAAGAAGTAGAAAGTACAGGTATTTGAGTTCAACATGTAAGAAGTAGAAAGTACAGGTATTTGAGTTCAACATGTAAGAAGTAGAAAGTACAGGTATTTGAGTTCAACATGTAAGAAGTAGAAAGTACAGGTATTTGTGTTCAACATGTAAGAAGTAGAAAGTACAGGTATTTGTGTTCAACATGAGAGAAGTAGAAAGTACAGGTATTTGTGTTCAACATGTAAGAAGTAGAAAGTACAGGTATTTGAGTTCAACATGTAAGAAGTAGAAAGTACAGGTATTTGAGTTCAACATGTAAGAAGTAGAAAGTACAGGTATTTGAGTTCAACATGTAAGAAGTAGAAAGTACAGGTATTTGAGTTCAACATGTGAGAAGTAGAAAGTACAGGTATTTGAGTTCAACATGTAAGAAGTAGAAAGTACAGGTATTTGGGTTCAACATGTGAGAAGTAGAAAGTACAGGTATTTGAGTTCAACATGTGAGAAGTAGAAAGTACAGGTATTTGTGTTCAACATGTAAGAAGTAGAAAGTACAGGTATTTGGGTTCAACATGAGAGAAGTAGAAAGTACAGGTATTTGGGTTCAACATGTGAGAAGTAGAAAGTACAGGTATTTGGGTTCAACATGTGAGAAGTAGAAAGTACAGGTATTTGGGTTCAACATGTGAGAAGTAGAAAGTACAGGTATTTGAGTTCAACATGTGAGAAGTAGAAAGTACAGGTATTTGAGTTCAACATGTAAGAAGTAGAAAGTACAGGTATTTGAGTTCAACATGTAAGAAGTAGAAAGTACAGGTATTTGAGTTCAACATGTAAGAAGTAGAAAGTACAGGTATTTGAGTTCAACATGTAAGAAGTAGAAAGTACAGGTATTTGTGTTCAACATGTAAGAAGTAGAAAGTACAGGTATTTGAGTTCAACCTGTAAGAAGTAGAAAGTACAGGTATTTGAGTTCAACATGTAAGAAGTAGAAAGTACAGGTATTTGAGTTCAACATGAGAGAAGTAGAAAGTACAGGTATTTGAGTTCAACATGTGAGAAGTAGAAAGTACAGGTATTTGAGTTCAACCTGTAAGAAGTAGAAAGTACAGGTATTTGAGTTCAACATGTAAGAAGTAGAAAGTACAGGTATTTGAGTTCAACATGTGAGAAGTAGAAAGTACAGGTATTTGAGTTCAACATGTAAGAAGTAGAAAGTACAGGTATTTGAGTTCAACATGTAAGAAGTAGAAAGTACAGGTATTTGAGTTCAACATGTGAGAAGTAGAAAGTACAGGTATTTGAGTTCAACATGTAAGAAGTAGAAAGTACAGGTATTTGAGTTCAACATGTAAGAAGTAGAAAGTACAGGTATTTGAGTTCAACATGTAAGAAGTAGAAAGTACAGGTATTTGTGTTCAACATGTAAGAAGTAGAAAGTACAGGTATTTGAGTTCAACCTGTAAGAAGTAGAAAGTACAGGTATTTGAGTTCAACATGTAAGAAGTAGAAAGTACAGGTATTTGAGTTCAACATGTGAGAAGTAGAAAGTACAGGTATTTGAGTTCAACCTGTAAGAAGTAGAAAGTACAGGTATTTGAGTTCAACATGTAAGAAGTAGAAAGTACAGGTATTTGAGTTCAACATGTGAGAAGTAGAAAGTACAGGTATTTGAGTTCAACATGTAAGAAGTAGAAAGTACAGGTATTTGAGTTCAACATGTAAGAAGTAGAAAGTACAGGTATTTGAGTTCAACATGTGAGAAGTAGAAAGTACAGGTATTTGAGTTCAACATGTAAGAAGTAGAAAGTACAGGTATTTGAGTTCAACATATAAGAAGTAGAAAGTACAGGTATTTGGGTTCAAAATGTAAGAAGTCAAAGTAAAAAGTCGGCAGAAAAATAAGTAGTGGAGTGAAGTACTGATACCAGAAAGATGTACTTAAGTACAGTAACAAAGTATTTGTACTCCACTACTTCACACCTCTGTATATCTATCAGCTCACACAATGAGTACCTGGAGGCTGACACTGGCTCCGCCTGCAGACTCCCCGAAGATTGTGATGTTCTCGGGGTCTCCTCCGAATTTACGGATGTTCCTGTGCACCCAGGCGATGGCAGCCTGCTGGTCCCAAAGACCATAGTTTCCTGAGAGAAATCAAACGTTTAACTCCATCCCGGCAAAGATGGAAATGTACTCAGATTGTGTACTTGAGTTAAAGTAGAAGTACCAGAGTGTAGGAATACTCTGTTACAGTAAAAGTCCTGCATTCAAAATGTTACTCAAGTAAAAGTAGAACATTATTTTGTGCTTGAGTAAATGTACTTTACTCCCCTGAATCATGGTATGAGTCCTTAAGTAGTACAAATCTGGCAGGGAGGCCACCATTTATTTGGCTCTGAATAATTCTGTCTCTATTTTGAGGAAATTAACTGTCACCCACCAGCAAGTTCTGGTTCTCCAGTGCTCAGGAAGCCCAGAGAGCCGACCCGGTATCCGATTGAAACCACGATCACATTCCCTCTGTCGGCCAGCTCCTGCCCGCTGAACTGAGTGTACTTCAGGATATGAGTACCCATCGAGCTTCCAATCATGAAGGCGCCGCCATAGATCCAGACCATGACCGGCATATCAGAGGACACTGGAAGACAGAGAGCATTAAAGGTCACCTATTATGCAAAATCCACTTCTTCATGTCTCTTCTACATCAACATGTGTCCCCTCTTCTTCATGTCTCTTCTACATCAACATGTGTCCCCTCTGCTTCATGTCTCTTCTACATCAGCATGTGTCCCCTCTTCTTCATGTCTCTTCTACATCAACATGTGTCCCCTCTTCTTCATGTCTCTTCTACATCAACATGTGTCCCCTCTTCTTCATGTCTCTTCTACATCAACATGTGTCCCCTCTTCTTCATGTCTCTTCTACATCAACATGTGTCCCCTCTTCTTCATGTATCTTCTACATCAACATGTGTCCCCTCTTCTTCATGTCTCTTCTACATCAACATGTGTCCCCTCTTCTTCATGTCTCTTCTACATCAACATGTGTCCCCTCTTCTTCATGTCTCTTCTACATCACCATGTGTCCCCCTCTTCTTCATGTCTCTTCTACATCAACATGTGTCCCCTCTTCTTCATGTCTCTTCTACATCAACATGTGTCCCCTCTTCTTCATGTCTCTTCTACATCAACATGTGTCCCCTCTTCTTCATGTCTCTTCTACATCAACATGTGTCCCCTCTTCTTCATGTCTCTTCTACATCAACATGTGTCCCCTCTTCTTCATGTCTGTTCTACATCAACATGTGTCCCCTCTTCTTCATGTCTGTTCTACATCAACATGTGTCCCCTCTTCTTCATGTCTCTTCTTCATCAACATGTGTCCCCTCTGTGGAAAGAGACTCTGAAAGTTTCAGGAACAAAGATTCTCTCTCTTTTTGATCCATTTCTATAAAAACCTGTCTGAAAATGAGCTGATCAGATTTTGTTACTTTATGATGTCATAACGATTTGTTGTCTTGTGTAACCATTAGCCAATCACCAACCAAGGTAACCCCTCCCCCTTATCACCTGAATCTCCTCCTAGAGCACCATTGATTTCTTTGTAACCAAATGTCTCTCAGAGGGGCGTGGAGAGGGGCTCCTTGTTTTCATCTAAAGTCTTTGGAAACAGGGCTGAAACAGAGGGGATTATGGGACGCTGCAATGATCTGTTTGGGGTCTCAGCCAATCAGAGACAGGTTCTGTATATATCTGAGCCCTATATTGATGAAAAACAGATAATAGGAGACCTTTAAAGTTGTTGATTGGATCTAATATGGAGGACACTTTGTTTACCTGAGCCGTTGTGAGGAACCCAGATGTTGAGGTACAGACAGTCCGTGCTGCCTCTGGTCGTGTTAAAGGAGACGCTCACCTGGAGGCAAATGTCCTTAAACGCAGTGGCATCCAGAACATCTGATGACACAGATTTTTATGTTGTATTTTATTATATACGTTGCATTGCTGGAGGAGCTCAGGTAAGAAGAATTGCATTGCCATATCTACACTGTAGCTTTGTGCATATGACAATAAAACCTTTTAATTTGAAGTGAATTTGAATATGATCTCAGTCGGTCTACTCACCAGCCCAGCCTGGGTGAGGTTTTGGTTTCATGAAAGTTTCAGGGACGTCAGCAAAGGGAATCCCCCTGAAGACGTCCATGTGGCGGCCGGACGCCAGAGGGATGTTCTCTCCCCGAACCAAACCTCCCTCTGTGTTCACCAACCCGAGCTACGGCAAGAAAACACACAATGTTGCACCCATTAGAATGGTTTTGTTATTTGAACACTAGATGGCGTAATAGGGCAACAGCATAGAACTGGTCTCCTGGCACAGGTGTATTGATTGTGACTGGGAGAGCAATAGTTTTTTGACCGTGTCTGTGAACACAAGCTAAACTTCGTCGTACATGGAGATCGCACGCGTCCAATTAGTTAAAGGTGGGTGGGTTGGTAATTCACTTCAGAAACCCTGTTATATCCCATGCTCTTAACATCCCGATAGCAATGAATACATGAAATGCTTTGACAATAAATACGTCAATGAAAACTATTACTTTTACTTAAGTGAAGCATCTGACTTCACCACTGACTTGTAGAGATACTGAGCAGAAGTTAAACAGAGTTATTAGAAAACATTATTGTGACACTTACAGAGATCGCAGAGACCGTCTCCAGAAACACAGCGATGGCCACCAGACTCTTCATCTTCATCATGTTGACGGTGAGTGAGTTGCTTTCGGATGTCTGCCGGAATTTTAAGGCAGAACCACGCCCCCGTACTCCACGCTGACCAGTGGGAGGGACATTTCAACAGCTGTGTCAACAACACTTTCATCTTTACTTTATCTGGATACCCTTCAACATTTAAAAAACATACATATTGCTCAAACAAAACTATTTCCTTGACCCTTGCCTTGATGTGGGTGTATGTGTGTCCACCTACGCTCCTGCATCTGCCAGCATACACGTGTCCTTGATTTAGTAGTAAGGCGGTGGCGTGTGGCGCAGAGGACTAGTGTGTTGGTGTTCAGGGGAGCACAGGTTCAAACCCCACTGCAGTCAGCATGTCGTTGTGTCCCTGAGACACTTCACCCAAATAGCTCCTGTGGGGATTGTCCACAGTACTGAATCTATGTAAGTCGCTTTGGATAAAAGCGTTTAACAAATGACATGTAATGTAATTAAAAGCAGCGGCAAAAAGAAAAGTCTTCAGCCTCGATTTAAAAGTCGTCAGAGTTGCAGGTTTCTGTGTTTGTTTGTTAACCAAACTCTCACATTCCTCTACCCCTAGTCTTCCCGTGAAATTATATTTATTTTGACACTTTTCTAACCTTTTTATATTCCTTTCATCCTTCTCTTTCATCCATGCAGGGTCGGCGTCATGGGGGGTCATTCGCGGGCCATGCCCCCCCAAATGAGTCACTGTGCCCCCCCAACGCAGGGTGGGCAAGCCTTGCCACTTTGCCGTTTAAAAAAAAAAAATCATATAAGTGAAAACGTTTCCACTAAAGGTTTTTTGTGTGAAATACATCAGAAATAAAGAATACAAATATAAAACACAGCCTGAGCTGTGCTCACTGCTGCTCTCTGATTGGTGTGTTGCTTGACCAATGACCCCCGACCTTTGTTTTGTTATCATTACGTGGCTGTGTGTTTAGATGAAAGCCCGGTGGCGAGCTGTTCATCTGTTACACTGATTATACAGTAAAGCCATCGAAAATAATATGATATACAGTACAGTACAAGTAGCCTACTTCTGGGTCTCTGTGTTTCATTCAAGCTCGGCTCTGTGTGTGTGTGGCACAAGCGCATTTTGTGAGTGCGCAAGCGGTAACGTGGAATGTTGATGTTAGCATCTGGTTAGCTAGCTATGCTAACGGATATAAAGAGCTGTTTCTACACCAAGGTGGAGGAGAGTCCTCTCCTGTCAGACTGAGAGGATCGTATAACCTCAGCTCAGTGAGGTAAGGACTCTCTCAGTGTTTAGATAGTTCACTTTAGTGTAGGTTATCTCAGTGGGTCTCAAACGCGGTTTGCTCACCATTTATGTAAACAAGTATTTGCGAGGAATACCTTTATATGATCATTATAGTTATTAAAGAATAAGAGAATAAATAAAAAAACGGGTATGAAATACTATAGGACAGTAACACAAGAATACAGTTTAAAAGGGGAGTGATTAGTAAAATATCCATAAAGAAAAAGTAAATCTGTGTACAGTTCTGTTTCATATGGATGCTGAGAGATGTAGGCTATCCATAGATCTCCTAATGTTGCTCTCAAAGTGCACCAGATTGATGCATTTAACTTCAATATTTTTAAAATAATCTTCCCGGGGGAGCATGCCCCCAGACCCTCCTAGAGGAGGTTAGGTCCACCCCCACCTAAAACATGTTCACATGGATAGGATACTAAATACATTTGCACCCTTTTATATGGTGGCCTATGTCCTTATATGTTTCAGTTTTGGTGGTCGTGCCACAACCGTGCATGTATGCACAAGTCATAGGTGCGCTATACAATAGCACTATACCCTGCAATGTGTGTGAAAGACAATAGACTTTACACACGTTACATACGTTTTTTTGAAGTTGCGTTGGTGTTTGTGTGTTGGTTGTTGATGGCAGTGTGTGCCCCCCCTTTGTAAATGATTGCCCCCCCATTCGATTTGTTCTAGAGCCGACCCTGCATCCATGTTCCTGTTACCCGAACTCATCTTTGACCTTCAAACCAGTGCTTGAATTGGAATGAAAAAGGTGCCAGTACTCTAAAATCAGCAACTTTTTCAAGTCAATTTTATATATACAGCCCACAAACAAGAATTTGGCTACTATAATGCTGGTGGGTTTGTCTCTTTACTACTGTATATTTTAGAAAGGTTCACTGTACTTAACATTTGTTATGATAGGCAGCGGATATGGCTAAAGCTCAGTAAGGTCAATATTAACTGAAAATATAGCAATCAAAGTCTAGATCTTCTGCTGAAGACACATGAAGCAGAGACCTTTCAGGTGAGAGCCCCTCTGGTGGTGTTCAACATTAATGACAAGGAAACAAAGCTCTGGTCAGAAGCATTTTTTATAAAAAGCTTTAACAAAATTAAGTATTTCTGTACATTTTGAATGCAATCTAACTTTCCAACTCAGAAAACGAAAAACGAAAAAGTGCCAAAAGTCTTCTCACATGGCTGAGCTGCTTTGCAATATACTTCACCACTGAAGAATACAAATATGTATAAAGTAAACTATGATGCAATCTAACTTTCCAACTCAGAAAAATGATAAAGAGCATGAACAAAGAACATGTAAAAACAAATGCAAAATGTGCACAATCTAAAATGAGAAACTGTAACTGCAAGTAACAAAGTCTGAGCCATGGTAAAGAGTTACATTGAACACCAAGCTGATCAGATAACTCCCTGGTTGGTCTGAAGTCCTTCTATCTCCAGGATCTGTACAAATCGGCACATTATGCCAAAAGTCTTCTCACTGGGTGAGCTGCTTTGCAATATACTTCACATTGTTAGAAAAGGCTCCAGAAGGCCTTGGGGACATCAGTATCAGGGGCTGGAGCTGGACAGGCTCTTTCATCAGCACTTCTCCTTCCCTTTGCCAGCCAGGACCTCACATACTGTTCCGGATTGAACTGTCCTAGTGATGGTCCATTACATTTAATGAAAACCAGGCTGGACAGTCGGCTGACAGAGAGAGCATTCCTTTTTGCAGTAAGGATATCGTTCATGCAGCTGAATGCCCGCTCACACTCACTAGTGGAGACAGCGATGGTTCGGACTGCTTTCAGTAGAGGCTCCATGGCAGCAGGTGTACGGGATGCCCTGGTTTCCTTGTATTCGCGAAAGCCCTGAACAGTCTCTCTTCTGTCCACTTTCAGCACTTCGCACAAACGTAGCACCTCTACGTCCCCATACTGTACATCTAACTCCTCTTCAGGCCAACTTCCAGGATGGATAACTTTCATGTCCTGGATTAGCTGATTGTCCCGGGCCTCCCGGCCATGTAATGGGATTTCTCTTGTGCTGACATGAGAGGAGGTTGTGGAAGTCATTCTGTGTCTCAGATTCTCTACCATACTGCGGAAAAACTGACCTGCATGAATCTGTACAAGCCTGCCATTCTCACGCAGGGCAACACCCTTGAAGGACTTCTCAGCTAGAGCTGTATGAACTGTAGTCATGTGTGGGCCAGGCATGGTGACCATGGATTCAAAAACTCGTATTTCTCGAGTTAAGAGCCTATCTGCTGTAGGCAGTGTCATCTCTTTTTTGGAGTTGCCGAGAGAGGTCGCTGAGCTCTGTGAGCGCATCGTACATCAGTCCCAGATTGCTGACAAACGTTGCAGATGTGAGCACATCATCCAGGCCCTTGTACTTTGCTCTGTCTCTGGAATCCCTGCTCGTGTCGTTTGCAGCATTTGTGAAGTGATCATGAAGCACTCGGTAGTTTTCCCAGACTGCTCTGACGCTCCTTTCACTTGAAGCCACCCAGTGGATGGACAAAACACGCCCTATCACCAGGAGACGCTGTCCGACTGCTTGCGCACACTGCGCTAACTGCCTCTGATTTTTGGGGGAGGCATGGAACAAGGAATAGAGTTTGTCAAAAAAGATCTGGAAATGATTGAGCCCTGAGACCTCCTTGACCACATCCCCAACTGCCAGCTCTAGACGATGATTGGAGCAGTGCCACACAAACAGGCTTGGGAATTTACTACACAACTGGGTAGCAACGCCTGTTCTCTTCCCTAGCATGACTGAAGCCCCATCACATGCAAAAGAAACGAAACACTGACCTAAAAAGTCCTCGTTAAAATCTCTTCCAAGACACTCCATTAACGCCTTTGTGATGTCATCAGCCGTTGTTCCATCCAACTCGATCAGCTCCCAAAAAAACGTTTCGGGCTCAGCATCAGCTAATGCTGAGCGTAGACACACAACAAGCACCGTTTACCACTAATAGTGGTAGATTCATCGACCAAAACACAGAGTTTTCTTTGGTTTTCTGTAATGTCTTTTGCCATTTTTTTCTTCAGCTCATGAGCTATGTGGTCGATGATTTCGCCACAGGTTTTATTGGAGTGCAAAACCCTGCCCACGTTCAGCCCATTCAGTTTCTGTACATTCAAATCAATTGGCATGTCTGTGAATGGCCGGCTATGTTTGCCAATTTTATATGCCGTTCGAAAAACTCTGATAGTGGTGTCTAATTCAGATGTATGCATAGACTGCACTTGATGTTGAATAGTTTCACGTGAAGCAGATGTAAGGATGTCAGCAGCTTTTACATGGGCTTGTGATTCTTTATGTTCTTTGATTTTTTTTCTCAGGCTAGCTTGTTGTTTGCCCTTGTCAACACCGAAATGAGACACTGCACACTCACCCCATTCAGTTGACAGTTTCAGTCCTTGTCCAGTGTGTATTCCCAAAGATTTGACATCTCTGCATATCCGACATCCTAGCTTCTTATCTTTAAGAAGGAGCCATGCATTGGTCTTGCAAAAATATTGCACCTGGTCCGTTGTCCAGCAGTCAGGTGCATCGCTTTGCCCGGTGTTGGTGGTGGCAGTTGCGCCAGCAGCAGCTAACGTTAGAGGCTCTGGAGGAGGCGGCGGAGCTAGTGCTAATGCTAATGCACTAGAACTTGGAGCAGGAGGATCAACCAAAGAAAGCTCCCCATTAGACACAATTTCCAACACAGGCACAGCATTCTCTGTATTTGAAGTTTCTTCCGGCGACAACCGCTGTCTTTTTGCACTTTTATTAATCCACGCTAACAT